ACAAACAATGAATCATGGAACACTACATCTAAAACTAATGATGTAATGTATGGGGATTAACATAACAATAAAAAATAAAAGTAAAAAAAAAAAAGTGAAAAGAAGTTGGGACGCCTGCGTGGCTCAGTCGGTTAAGCACATGCCCTCGGCTCAGGTCCTGATCCAGGTGTCCTGGATTTAGCCCCGCATCGGGATCCTTGCTCAGCGGGAAGCCTGCTTCTCCCTCTGCTTCTGCCTGCCGCTCCCCTTGCTTGTGCTCTCTCTTAATCTCTCTCTCAAAATACGAAAAAAAAAAGAGTGAAAAGAGGTAAAGGGAACACCAAAGGCTATACTCTTAGGGCAAAAGTAAACCAGAAGTCAGTCAGTCTCACATGGATTTGCAACTTTGGTCCAGTTAACCTCAAGTTCAGAATTCGGTTGGGTGGACTCACACTGAAGAAGCTTTAAGGGGCACAGCTAAACAAACACAAATATTCTCTGGAGGAAGGCATTTTCTACTCTTCGAGTTGATTTCTACAGATAATTTTCCAAATAGAATCAGGAGCAAATAAAGATAACCAAGCACATAAGGAAAGAATGTACGATGAGCAAGAATTGGCAGAAAACGACAGGGCTTCACATACTGAGATCACTAAATACAAATTTACTTAATACATCTTTTAAATGATGCCTTCAATATTTAAAGAAACAAAGTTTGAAGATTAAAACAAAAATAACAGATTTGATAATAACCATACAGTACAGCATACCATGAAAAACACAATATATTTAAAACACAGGCATTAAATGGATTTGTGGTACAGTGGATTGCATCTTGAAACAAAAAGGACATTAGTAGAAAAACTTGAGAGATCTGAATAGTCTGTAGTTCAATTAATAGTATGACACCAATGTTTCTTTCTTAGTTTTGACAAATGTATCATGGTTTCGAAAGATGTTAATATTAAATGTTAACCTTAAAACTAGGTGACGAATAAATGGGAAACTCTGGACTATCCATGCAATGTTTTTGTAAATCTAAAATCATTCCAAGTTTTACAACACATTAACAAAAAAACAGGAGGAGGCTTAGGACAAAGAATATTACAAGAGTAACGGGGAAAACACCAAACTGAACCCTTCAGAGTTGAGGTTGCATGGCAACAACTCACCTGAACATCTAAGGAGAGAGGAGATGCATGCACACATTTACCTGGGGCAAATGCCAACAGATGGCAATAACAAGATTTAATTAAAATTTTAACAAGCTGCAAAAGGCTGAGTGTGGGCTAGTTCAAGAGAAGAACTCCCGGGGGCTACAGACACAGGATAATTTACCACAACTTTGTACAAACATATACACACACACCCCACACATACATGCAAACCAAAAAGAAGAAAAAGAGAAGTAGAAAAAGAAAAAAAGGCTGGGCCAGGGCAATGTCTTGCAAATTCATCCTCATGATGATGATGATGGTGGTGCAGGCTTGGGGGAGAACAGAGCCAGTGCTGGGAAGGCACAAAGCCCAGCAGAGAGCCTTCCCCTCTATCTTTCCTGTGGAACAACATTCTTAAACTCTCAGGTTGATGAAAATCCAATGCAGCTGGGGGAAAGGAACAGAAGGTTAAAACTTTCTGCAGGGGATGAGCAAGAATACATCCTGGGCACAGATTTAGAGCTGGGAGCAAGGCAGGAGAGAAGCTGGGAGAAGCCTCCACCCCAAGACCCTTCCTGAGACTTAGACAACAAACCACACCTCCCCTCTCAGCCTCCCCACCAAACTGACAGGATTTCAGTAACAAGTACCAGAGGACGCTGTTGGGGGAGGTGCAAAAAGGAGACTCTAAGTGTAGTGCAAAAAACTCAGTGTGGAACAGGCATTGAGAAAAACTCTCTAGCAAAACATCTCCCACCCTATACACAAAGTAAAGAATGCTACAGTAATTTGAAGTCTGTGAGAAAAATTACTGCAACAGTAAAACCCAAATCCGGTACAACTCCTGACTCAACTGACTCAAGCCCTCACTGAAGGTCTCGCAAAAAGACAAGCGTAGCCATTCTCAGGTATCAAAACTACTTCAATCTCCACTGTCCTACTCAAGAGGCCCAACTTTCAACAAAATCGTAGCAGGTATAAAAAAGGCAAGATAAAGCAGTCTGAAGAGAAAACAACCAAAAATTTCAGAATCAGAGATGTTGTAATTACCAGATGGGGAATTTCAAACAACTATTAGCAACACAATAAAGGTTTTAGTAGAAAAGGTGGGCAATCCTCATGATCAGATGGATACGTTTAGCACAGACGTGGAAACTAACAGAATCAAAGGGAAATACTGGGAATGAAAAACAGGAACAGAGATGAGGAATGCCTCTACCTGGCACCACCAGCAGACTAGGCAAAGCCAAGGGAACAATCAGTGAACAGGAAAATAGGTCTGGATATTACCTACACTGTAAGACAACAGGGAAAAAGAGTGAAAAAAAGCAAAACAAAAATCAAAAAAAGACTGTGGAACAAATGGCCCCAAAGATGTGTAATTGGAGAAGAGAGAACAGGGTAGGAATAACATTTAAAGAAATAAGAGCAAGGGATGTTCCAAAATTAATGACAGACATGAAACCAAAAGTCCAAGTTCAGAGAAGACCAAGCAGGATAAAGAGGGAGGAAAAAGAAAAAGAGCACACTAAGATGTATAATACTTAAACTCCTGCAAACCAAAAACAAAGAGAAACTCATGAAGGCAGCCAGAGAGAAAAAAACATGTAACACAGAGGAGGAGGGAGGGGGAGCCAGAGAGAAAAAGACGTAACAGAGAAGCAAGGGGAAACTGCGTATAGAACACTGAAATCATGGAAAGAGGGTACTGAACGCATCTGTTTGGCATAGACAATGTCTATAGAATACCCAAGAAACCTCAGGGCAGCTCCCCTACCTGGGATGACGCATAGCTAGAGGGGAGAAGCAGGATGGACTCTTTAATGTGTAAGTCAGTGCTGAAATTTTAAATTATTTTTTGAAAAGACAGCAAATATACATATTGCCAATCTCTTCTATCTTATGGAGATCTATAAACAACGGCCCCCATTCTGCCCAGTATGCCAAATTTTTCAGAGTAAACAGACCTTTCAAAAAGCTACACTTTGTTCTCAAGGGTAAGTAGTAACAGGATAAAGGGGCACTACATTCTACGCCAGGTCATCCCCAAACAGAACACAATTTCACAATGTCAAAACAACTAGACAAGGTTCATAAGCAAAAATCTTGAACGTTAGGGCACTTCATCAGCTGACTGCGGAAAACTCATCTTTAAATATGAGTTCTGGCTGCTACCTATGAGCCCTGGCGAGGAGAGGAAAAGAAAAAGGAAGGCAGAGAGAAAACAAGAGGGAGGAGGAGGAGAGAGAAGATGAGGGAGGAAAAAAACCAAAACTTGTAGCCGTGAGCTAAGTTCCTGAGCACTGGTGACCAAAGCTCAAGCGGTCGCTGCGATCAGGGTGCTCTGCCCTCACGGGGAGCTGGGGGGAAAGCCCCTGGGCAGCAGTCAGCATTCTTCGAAGAGAATCCTGAGACTCCTTTTTTAGGGAACAAAGTTTTATCAGACAGTATTTACACTGAATGATTCTTCATTTGCAGATATTCATACTTTTTTTGACTTTTCAAATAACAATGTATACAAGCAATCCAAATTTACACTGACACAAAGAAAATTTGTTTCTTTTCAAACTACATGTGATCCTGAAGATGAGCAATTAGTAGCTGAAGTGCAAGTCGCAGGTGTGGTTTGGACTTCCATTGACAGACCACAGTCACCCACCGTTCTTGTTGCTCGTTCAGAGGACCTTACCACCAGCAAAGGACTGAAGAGTCTGCAGCCTCTTCCTGATGGCCAAAAACAGCCGCTCACCTATATGTAGACGGTTTTTACTGCCTCAACTCTCAATCATTTATTACCCATGGAATAATACATTTTCAACACAGTTCTTAAGTTCTAATTTAGTTCTTAAAAACTGAGAATTGATAAAGAAAATAATAAAAAGGAGCATGATCTTACTGGAGTTCCTGCGTTCATGTAGCTCTGCAGCTTGTTTCTCATGTCCTTTTCATTAAATTTGGCACTTCGCTTTACATAGATCCCTCCGTGCTGTCACATAAAAAAAAAAAAAAAGGGAGGGAAAGTATTTACTATTAAAATACCAAATGGCCAGTCATCAAAAAGGTAACTTTACTCCCCAAAAGAATAAAATTACATTTTAGGAATTAAACTATATTTAATACATTCAAATATTAGCATCTAATAAACATTTACCTGAAAGCTCTCCTAGGTTTCAACATAATTGAAATAAAAACTGCATGCTACATGGTACAGGAAAATACATGAACATTTAGTTTTGTTGACAGTTAAAAATGCTTTCATTTTTTAAAATAAAAAACTCGATCAATAACATAGTTCTTAGCTCTCAATTTTTCCAATGACGTAGAATCACTAAAAGTATCCTTAAAATGACAATACTTATGATCTTCAGGGATTTTTAAGACTGACCCAACTACAGATGTTTAGGTAGCACTGTTATGAACTCAACTGTGTTCCCCCAAAATTTATATGTTGAAGCCCTAAACCCCAATACCTGATGATATCTGGAGATGGGGCATTTAAGAAGGTAATCAGGTTAAATCAGGTTATTTAGCGTGGGTCCTAATCCAGAAGAAGAGGAGATTAGAACACCAACAGGCATATGCACAGAGGAGAGACAGAGGGAGAAGGCAGCCGACTACAAGCCAACAAGAGAGGCCTCGGCAAAAAGCAATCCTGATAATACATTGATCTGGCACTTCCAGCCTCTAGAACTGTGGGGAAATAAATGTCTGTTATTTAAGATCCAGACTGTGGTATTTTGTTAGGGCAGCCCTAGCCAACTAACCCAGGCACTGTCATACAAATTAAGGGATCCTTCATGAGACTTCGTTAAGTGTACCTCACCAAAACTTTGCATCAAGTCACCATATTATTTGCACTCGCTTGTGCTAATTTGAACTCATCTGTAAAATAAACTGACTGGCTGAACTTGATTTTGTCTTAACCAAGAATATGAGTAAAAGGAAATGCACAGATAGGAGCAAGGAGGGGACAGTATAAAGACTATAAAGAGGAGAGGAAGCAAGGTGGCCTTCCATTCTGGTGGTGGTTCCTTCCAGATAGAAACTGGCGTGCCTGGGGGCGCCTGGGTGGCTCAGTCGGTTAAGCGGCTGCCTTCGGCTCAGGTCATGATCCCAGGGTCCTGGGATCGAGTCCCACATCGGGCTCCCTGCTCTGCGGGGAGCCTGCTTCTCCCTCTCCCTGCTTCTCTGCCTACTTGTGTTCTCTCTCTATCTCTCTGTCAAATAAATAAAATCTTAAAAAAAAAAAAAAAGAAAAGAAACCAGCGTGCCTGAGTGCAGAGGAAAAACTCAAGGTGCTCTACAGAAGGCATGTCACTGTTTGCCCAAACAGGACTGATTCATTCTTTACTGACTCTTTAGAATTAAAAGCCACAGCATGCATATACCACAACGTAAAATTTCCCCAAGCTGTAGTGGACGTGATGCCTACTCTTGACATACTAGTTCTCACCTGTCATTTAACTTCTTAAAGTCTTTTTTAATTCAAAAACACCTGGGTTCTTTCCCAGGTATACGGAAGCTACAGAAGTGAAGACCAGGTACCTTTCCTTAAGGAACTTAAAAATTAGTGGGGAAGTGAAATACGTATACAAATAAGATATCAAGAGACTCTGGTAAGTGTAATAATAAAGACAGCCCAAGACAAAAGCAGGGTGGAGGGAACTGCCAGGCTCGGGAAGGGTTTCATAATTGCATCTAAACTGGGCCTTGGAGGCAGAGGAAAGCATATTGCCTTGAACTAAAGCAACAGCTCAAAGAAGGATAGGGAGGGAGAAACCGATGCAGGCTAGAAAAAGAAAGGTGGGTTGCAGGGAGGCAGGTCACAGTGGAGCATGAATGCCAAGCATGGGAACTGGCACACGGTACAGTTGAGAAACACACACTTTGAGCAGATAAGCAGCTTGACCAAATGTATGCTGGAGAAGCAAATTAACGGCATTCTGGAAAATATCCTATACTAAATGTTTATTATGCGCCTGGCACTCATGCTCAACACTCTGCATTACAGCACACTATTTTTTAATATCCTACAGATCATAAATAAGTTTTAATATTAGTTTCTTAAGGTAATCATCTGTCAGATTCTGTGCCTTTAAATTTTCCTAGTTGATTTTTGTACACTTGTATTTTTGCTATTTAACTACCTAGGTGATCAGACATGTACATAAATGCACACCATTAAAAATGCCCAAGTAAAATCACTTCTGTTTGGAATAAATTATTAAACCCATAAAAATAAACAAAACAACCTATACATTTATATTAAGTGCATGCTAAATTTCCAAATCTAAAATTTTTATAAGCTACATATATAATGAAGAAAACATGGAAAAAGTTACCTGAGAAAAATAACACCCATACAGCGGAAGCCACTTTAACCCATCTTTCAGCACGTAGCGTACATGTCCAAGAGCATTCTGCCTGATGGCCAGAATGTCAGCAATAATCCAGTCAACTGCAAAGACACAGCCCAATTAGTGCATAAATGATCTGTATGTGAACTCCGGCATTCCTTTCCCAGAAACAGAAAAAGCCTCTTCACAAGATTATACTAGGAATATACTTTTGGATATATGAGAATAATTTTAAAATTATATCAACTGTAGACATTTAAAAGTTACAAATTCCATTTATAAAAATTCTTTGTTTTTTTTTTTCTTTTTGCGTTCCTTGAAGGGCTTTTTATTTCAGAGGTAAAATGCAAAAAGTCACAAACCGCCGTATGATACAAAAGTAGCATGAACAAAGAATAAAGTGCCTCTAATTCTTAGTCTAAAAAAAATAAAATTATAAGCAAAAAATGGTTAAATGAAACTGTCATATATATTGTGTATATACTAATATGTTCAACACAAGGCAAGGACACTTCATCTTCCCTGGTGCCTTTCCAGGACACAATCCTAGGTTACAACGTCAGCGCAAAGATCTGAGGCCCATGGCTGTGCTGCCAGATACCTGCCCCTTACAGAAGCACAGCACAGGTACCCAGGGGCCAGTAATGGGCGTACATGGATGGGCATGTTAGCATCAAAGGGTCGCAAAAGCAAAAATGAGACATGAGTGTGTTGATAACAACAACACTTCTAGGAAGAGAGAAGAAATTCCAAACAGAAGGACTAGCCTGTGCTGAAGCAAAGAACCAGAAACCGTGTGCAGAAGGTGGCAAACGGGAGATGGTCGAAAGAGTCAGGGGAAATGAAACAAAATGAAGCGGGAAAACAGTAAAAAGTCTTGAAGACCAGAGACGTGGGTTTGAAAGCAAATGGCTATAAACTACTCCATCTCTCTGATAACAATGAAAACTGAACTGGAGTTTGGGATCCTTGGGGAAAAAAAAATGATAAGAATCCCTGAAAAAAAATGTAGTCCTACTATCGCGTGTGTATCCAGGGCCACAGAAGCCAGAACAAAAGGACTGAATTAGAGGGGAAAATGTTAAAATAAAATCTATGGCAAATAAAAGCCTGGAAATTAAAGCAGTTAACAACAGTTTAAACCAAAATGAACAGTTTCCCACAGGATTACAGCTGTGTGAGATCCTTTAGACAATACATCACACTGGGGAGATTATCCCAAAGACAACTTAGCCAGTTAAACACTAAAAATTATTCTTGTGAAAAATCATGTTATCAATTATTGAAATCTCTTCTTAGTCTTTATCATTCACAAGTTCTTTCTTGATGACTTAAGTTATAATTACACAAATTCATTCTATGACAACTCCTTTTAAGTAGTGATGCAGATACTCTCCTACAACCAGGGATCCCTGGAAGCTGTGTCTGCCTGCTAGAGACACCGACGCTACAGAATGATCCACTATCTCTTTACTCTCAAGTATGTGACTTCCGCTGGAAGCCATCTCCCTAGCCCCTTCCTTCTCATTCAAATCACCTCAACAATACTGATAAACACAGCTCTTTCTGATTATGTTTTGGAAGCCAAATGATCTACCTTATAATAACTGTACCTAATGTAAATAAATTGTGAGAACTAAATGTACATCTGGAACATATTTGGGGTACAAGGCTAAAAACAAGATATGGTATCTTTTCCTGGAAAAATTATCTTTTTATAGTTTGGAAGAATTTTTAATAACACATTTTTATATTGAAACAAACATGGCTACACATGGCCTAGAATGCATCTTCTAAAACTTTTAAGTGTAAAATGTGTCATGTTGGTATTAACTCTCGTGGGCTATGGCCTTAAACTTGCACAAATTTTAGTGGAAAAGCTTAAGAACTAACTTAAGTAGTTAAAAGACCCAGACTTTGTGCCATCAATTTTGCTACTCAATTACCTTTACTTTTCCTGTTTATTCTCAACTAGGTTTCTGCTAGGAGACGCTAGACTACAGCTGGGTTGCTGACAGCAGAGATGGGAATATGTACCTTTACAGTAACTAGTCACACGGCCACAGCAGTGTCATTGTTCCTGTGACCTCTGAAGAGAGGAGAGCCAGCAAGAAAAGCGAGGCTTTTCTCATCTATGTTATGTAACAACAGTCCCTAAGTCACAAGGGTACTGCATAGTGTAACGGAGATCCTGGGCAGGAAGCACTTGTCTAGCATGGACCCAGCACCGCCTGCTCCTGGTTAGCTGCCATCATCGTCACGACCACCACCACCCCTGCTTAAATGCCCCCCATAAACCAGGCACGCTGAGAGACTAGGAGCTGGCCTATGGAAATTGCCTAAAAACCCTGAGCAGTAGACATTCTCACACCTTATGAACAAGGCTAAGAGAAGCTAAGTGATTTGCCCACTGTCACACAGCCCACTGCCGAAGAGCAGATGAGCCAGGGTCTGATGGCAAAGCCCACACCTTTTTATGATAATCTACTCACCACATATTTTGTTAGTCGAGGCAAATATCACTGAAACCAAGAAAAGGGTGCATTTCCTGAGGTCAAGGTAAACAGTGTCAAAAGCAGGTATTTAAAAAGGCCGAGAGGAAGGAATAAGAGCCACTACAACCTCTCGGCAGAGAAATAAGAGACTAAGAATACAGAGACAGCAAGGACACATCAAGTGAAAACACCAGAGAAGAGATACTAATTAAAACGTCAATTGTCTGGAACGTGAGGCCCAGAAGAGACTCGTATTCTGGCAGGCCTAGTAGAGGGCAAACCAGACAGTCCATGTTGAACAGCAGTCTTTGAAATATTCTTTCTGCTAATTACATTTTTAGATACTAATTTGTGGTTCTTAATATATCTCAGAAGGGTCTTAAGAAAAGGGTACCCAGACCCCACCGGCCAATGACCCATGACCATGGATAAGCTTCAGGGGTCTCTGGAACCTAAAACTATACACAAATTTGTATGTGCCCATATCTCTGGGCATAATCTATCATATTCTGACTAAAACCTGCAATTCTGAAGTAATTTAAAAATCACTATCTAGTTATGTTCCTAGGTTATGGGTTTTTTAAAAGGCATTCAAAAAAAGTAGTTCTCTCAAATCCCGAAGGCTAACTGGTACAGGACGTGGTAGCAGAAAGTCTCAGGCCCCGAGGGGTCAGATAAAGGCACGAGGAAACGGCTCTCTGACCTGAGAAGTGGGACTTTTTTCAGGTCAGTTGTGGGCTGACTTTGGAGCTCATACTTCCCATATTACCTTCTAGTTCTAAACACACAAGTAGGAAACAGAACTGTCTTCTTCCAAAGGTTTCCCGCCAAGTCCTCACTCTGAAGTAATGTATATAAAGGCCAACAGGTAGTAAGCACACCAGTGATGGCGGCGGGTCTCATTTTATTGCTGGTCTCATTTATTGCCTCTAGAAGCGTGGGCAGTACTTACTCCACACGTTCACGCTAGTTCCACAGCCCTGTTAATACAACTATTTCACACTGAAACCTGGCAAAAAGGAGGTTGGCAGGGAACCTGAACAAGGAATTTTAAGAGAGAATCCTCTTTAAACACATAAAAAACTTTAATAAAATGAACCAGTGGGTCAATATAAAGGAAATTTGGGTTGTCATGAGCCACTGCCTACCCTGGACCCATAAATCCTTTACATTTGGATACTGGAAGCCTGGTAGAAATACGCCGTCAGCAACAGAACAAGCAGCAGGACTCTGTTAGTAGTAAAGACCCGGTGTGTCTGCAGAAACAGTCAAAATTCAGAAGAAGAAAGGCTGCTCTACCGGCCAGCGCTGGAAGCAGACACTGGCCCAGTCAGGCTGCTTGCTTTGCTGAAGTCAAATGTAATTAAATTGTCCAAGCCAGTCACATTCATGAAGTCAGGGAAATACACAGATACATCAAAATTCCTATCAACCCTTTGTAAAATCAACTCTTGTGCCATAAAACTGAATGTAATCATTAATATAGCTAAATTGAGAAAAATGCATTTCAACTTCTTTTACTTTCTTTACCTTACCCATGGTACAAGTAGTAGTAAAAGCAACAAAATCATGAAGAGACACAGTTGACAGGAGGAAGATAAAGAACAGCCATAGGCTTAAGTGATTTTTCCAGTATCCTATAATCCCTCAGGTTGTTTTTAGCTTTGAACTTCTGGGTAGTACATTTCTTAAAGTCAGAAAAATGGAATTTAGGAAATGTGCATCACAGGCAGTTGTAGGTTTGAAAAAATATGAAGTAGGATTTTCCTCTGGACTGAATTATCTGTAGAACTAAAAAGTACCTTAACCAATGTCAATTTCTTGGGCTTTGATACTGTACAACAGCTATATAACATGTCATCATTGGGGGAAAATTGACTAAGAGGTCACGGGACTCCATATACTATTTTTGCAAATTCTCGAGAATCTATAATTATTTCAAAATAAAAAGGTTTTTTTTAAAGTGCTTTAAAATATATACTGCACTGACAGAACAGCAAGCTATAATTAAACTAAAACATTTGATGAGGCCAAAGGAACTGCAGACATTAGAAATTAATACTGCCTTTAGGGAAGGGGTAGTCACTTATTAGCATCACCTTTCTGCTTAACAATCAAAAACGTAAAATGTGTACATACTTTGACCCAATTTTACGTCCAGGAACAGAACTTACAAAAGGAAGAATGCATAATTTATTGAAAAAACTATTCAAAGAAACAAAATAAATGAAAGAAAATGCCTCATTTACACCCATCAGAGGGAGAAAGGTAAATTTGGGAAAATTCATAGTTTTCCTATGCCTGACTTTCCAAAAAGGTAAAATCACAAAAACACAAGGTCACGATATAATATCTGCATTGATAATTCATGTTTTAACAAAAACCAAAAAATTTTTCATTTAAATAAATAAAAACATGATTTTGAATGCCCATCTACTTTCTGTAGAAAACCTAAATTTCATGCAAATGAAATACAAACCTGTGCTTTGATGATTTGCTAAATATATTATATTTTCTTTATTTTTTGGCAAATCTCCATATAGCAATATCTAAAAGATAAAACAAAAGGAAACATTAATATTTCAAAACATGCACTACTGTAACAAACAAAACAGGACACTGTCAAAAAATCGACAAAGTCATGAATATTTCCACCCATGATTAACCAAAGTTAGATTTCTCTTAGCAGCATCAGAGACCATAAATGGCACATGTGTATAAAGTAGTTAAGTGGAGGGCAGGTTAATGGTTATAAAGTGAAACAGAATGATCAACACCCTCATGAGAAAAACACAACAAGCATTTATTTACTGCTTATAGTATCTGAAGCTTTTTCTGTAAGATACATCTTCCTTCAAAAAGCCCGCAGTATAGTGGAAGAGACAGCCGTGTAATACAGTGACAGGAAGACGTAACACAAACATTATGAAAAGATGGCACATTTTAGATCAGAGAACTGTCGACTGAAGAGCAGAAGCAGCGTCGTTAGGTGTGGTTTCGGCAGATGAGATGAAGGAAGGACATTCACGAAAAGGTGGACAAAGAAATGGAGTGGTGGTGTCTGAGGTGTCTGGGGCCCGTGGAGGCACCCCCAGCACTTTCGAGTCAAACGGCTGCATGCAGGACTGGTGAGCTGGAGCAAGGACCCCAGGGAGATCTGGACCAGAATGGGAGAAGTCTTTTGAATACCAAACTGAAGATTAAAACTTTATTTTGTAAGTAACAGGGAAACCTGGCTCACGATTAGGACTCTGTATATCTCTGTAAAGAATAGAGAAAGTTCACTGGGGCGCCCGGCTGGCTCAGTCGGTGGAGCGCGTGACTCTTGATCTCAGGGTCATGAATTCAAGCCCCATGCTGGGCATAGGGCTTCCTTAAAAAAATAAATAAAATTAGAAAAAAAAAAAAACAAGAAAAAACCAGAGAAAGTTCAGGATATAGGTGACTTCCAGGACTGGGGCGGGCGGGCGGGATGCAACATGCGAGCTGCACATGGCGGTTCCAACTCTAGCAGTCATTTTTTTTTTTAATTAATTTTTTTTATTATTATGTTATGTTAGTCTCCATACAGTACATGATTAGTTTCTGATGTGGTGATCCATGATTCATTGTTTGCATATAACACCCAGTGCTCCGTGCAGAACATGCCCTCCTTAACACCCATCACCAGGCTAACCCATCCCCCCGCCCCCCCCCCTCTAGAACCCTGTTTGTTTTTCAGAGTCCATCATCTCTCATGGTTCATCTCCCCCTCTGATTTCTGCCCCTTCATTCTTCCCCTCCTGCTATCCTCTTCTTTTTTTTTAACATATAATGTATTATTTGTTTCAGAGGTACAGATCGGCGATTCAACAGTCTTGCACAATTCACTGTGTTCAGCAGTCATGTTTTATTTCTTAAACGGGATGGTGGGTGCACAGGTGTTCATTATGAGTCTGTAGTTCTGTCTTAAATATTTCACAAAATTGAGAAATTAAAAGTATATTTTTAAAGACTTTAAAGGAAAGGACTGCTAACAGTGTTTTGTTTTTTTATATTATTCAGGGCATTTTTGTCTCTCTCTCAGTATCTTGTCATCATGGGTTATGCAAGATTATGAATTAACTAAGGGTTTTTAGATCTATGTTTTTAGATGTCCACACAGATCTTTTGGTCACAACACTCTTCGTTAACATCTTCACAACAGAAGAAAATGACGTCAACTCAGCATCTCTGTAGAAAAGTGGAACTAGAGCACATAACATTGTGGAGATCAGGGACACAGACTGAGGTTCCGGTGCTCTTCCCCAGAAAACTATACCATGCTATACGTGTAATATGTGTTTACATATTTGCTCAATTTTTTATTAATAAAGTCTATCAGTGCCAAAAAACAAAACCAAACCCTAAACCAACAGTTTGATCTATGCAGGGTTAAAAGAGGAGTTCTTGCTTGTGAACGATCCCCATTCTCTGGCCAATAAGCAGGAATTGCTTCCCAGCATGGGGACAACGCACTGTGCATGGGGACAACAATACCGCAGCCACCGACCTTCTGTTTTGGGGCTTAAGTTCCCTGGATGGGGCATCACATTTAAAGGTTTTGATTTAATTGATTCAACCTGATTAGCACTCTTTGGAGACCTGCCTGCCCCCAAGCTGTCCAAGAAGAGGCTCTCCCTGTCCTCTCCTGCTCAAGCTCTGAGCTTGATTAATAGACTGCCAGGCTGCAGCCTTTGAAGGCAGATAACAGACAAGTTATTAAAAGGCATTTTTTTTTTTTTTTAGTTTGATTGTGGTAATTCTGGTGTGTTCCGACTGGATGGGACCAGCAGCACAGGCTGTGAAAAAAATCACCCAAGGCAGAATGAAGGAAACAGAAGTTTACTGAATACACTGCAAGACAGGAGCAGGAAGGACGGCCAGGAGAGACTGTCTACCTAGGCGGGGTGAGGGGCTGTAGTAACAGGGCTGGGAACATACGGAATTCGTCTGGTTGTAAGCAGCCCACTGATAGGTGATGGCCTATAGCCACTTGCAGGTGGGTCGCTTGATGAGCCTGTTGGCATTCAGCTCAGGGGTCCCTGTGGGCCCTTTTCCCTTGCTCACGTTTCCAGTGCTGAAGCCTGCTGCCTAAAAGTGGCCTCTGTGGTATCTAGAGAAAGTAAGTAGTGAATTTAATTGGGCAAAACAGAAGGAGAAAACATAGTTCTACTGTTAGATCACTCTGAAGGAAAAAACCCTAATTCATAGCCACTGAAGGGAAATGTATACCTCCATCTTTCATACTTCTAAAGTTATTCTTCAATATGCATAGTATCTCGCTGAAATAAAAGGTATTTCCAAATAAAATGCAAGAAGATGGGGAAAAAAAGAGGGTAAGCCTTTCACAAAACATAATTTAGTTATCTTTAAGTATTTGGGCTGACTGCCTATTTAAATTTTTTCATTTGCCACTATAAATTGGTTGGAATTCCACAGAAATAAGTTAGAAAAGAGTAGCTTTTCATAGTTAAAACCTGAAAAGATCTAAAAGCGAAGTACATGAAATTATGAACTACAAATCTTACTGTAATAGTTGCAAATCATTAAGTACTTTGAATTAATGTTGATTAACCAAAGAAAGGAATGCATAATTACAATTTTAGGTATCAAATATATGCAGTTTTAAGGCCCTTCACTTGGTTTATTTCCAAGATTTCGAAGAAAACATTTCATTCTAATTTAAAACTGTCAGATTTCTTTCATTCATTTAAGTGGAAAGTTTTTAAATTTACTAACAAGGAGGGGAAGAAATGCAGATTCTGAAAATACTTAACAGTTAAGTATTTAACAGTTATTAACAGTTATTACTACCTTATTAACAAATATATGGTTAGATAGCTGTAGTATCTAAATTAAAAAAAAAGTTCCTAAGAACTTACAAAATACCTATACATATAAATTATTAAATGATTATGTAGGGACCAAGGGCAGGCTGCCCCTAGACGGGCCACTTTGGTATAAAGATTAAGTTAAAAGTAATCAAAACCCAGCAGATGCAGGAAAAGCTATCTGCCTGGCTCTCAAAGGCCTAAATTTGCACAGAAAAGGAGAGCCTGTTCCAGGAAGAGAGCTCTAAATAGACTCCCCTTTACCTAAGAAACTGATCTGCATAATAGGGCACCTCCTTTCACCTTCTTGCCAACAGCCTTCTTCTTGTATCCTAAACCCCTCTCCCCCTCTTTAGCTCAGGTAAGCTTTCCATTGACTCACTATCTTTGGAATCTCATGTGTGTGTGGCGTCCCCATACATACACCTATTAAATTTGGTTATCTCCTGTTGATCTGTCTCATGGCAATTCGATTCTAGGTCCAGCTAGAAGGACCACAGGGCAGAGGAAGGTCTTCCTCCCCGACAATTATATGTTGACCTATAAGCCTACCAGCACTGTCTCATTGTAATCATCTTAAATCCGCTCATCCTCAGCATGCATTTACCTTTTCTCCAAAGCTTTCCCACCTCCTCACCCAGAGCCCAGGATTAATCACACCCCCCTTTTGCCCTGGAACAAACCCCGTTCACACTCCTATGGGAGCCTCAACCACAAATTGTGCATATTTATTTGTAAGTCACCTCTGTGCGTGTGTGGGGGGCTCATAAGCTCTTCTGTGGGAGGGTCTTCATCATTTTTCTACCCCCAGAGCCCAGAACTCAGATGGTTTTCAGCACAAGTTTATTGAATCATTAAGCTGCACTTTTATTTTTCACAAGTAGATAAAGCTAGATCTCAATTTCAGCGGTAAAAGGTTTTGGAATAAACGTAAGTAAAACACTTTAAATGCACCAGTGACTTAAGGCATTCTGTGAATCTTCTAGTACATGTATTTTGAATCACATTAATCAGGTCTTTTGCAGGTAATTTGTTCCTTCAAAACAAGGCACATGAAAAACATGGCTTTTTTTGTTCTTCCTAATTCTTTAATTTTAGGTTCATCATAACTGTTTGATTTTAAGCTCATCCATTTTTTAAAAGCTCATCTAAAGTCTCTATAGAGGGGAGCCTGGGTGGCTCAGTCAGTTAGGCGTCTGCCTTCGGCTCAGGTCATGATCCCAGAGTCCTGGGATGGAGCCGCATGTCGGGCTCCCTGCTCAGTGGGGGGAGCCTGCTTCTCCTTCTCCCTCTACCTGCCGCTCCCCTGCTTGTGCATGCGTGCTCTGTCAAATAAATAAATAAAATCTTGAAAAAAAAAATAAAGTCCCTATAGAAAAAAGAACAATTTTTCCTTTTCATTAATTCAGAAGGGGACAATAAAAATGCTCTTTGAATAATTATCTTCATTGCAACTGATCCTCTAGTTACTATTCTGCTTTAGTCAGACAAACTTGTTTAACTTGCACAAACCAGCTATCAGAAGGCGGCCTGGGGACACCTGGGTGGCTCAGTCGGTTAAGCATCTGCCTTCGGCTCAGGTCATGATCCCAGGGTCCTGGGATCAAGTCCCGCATCGGGCTCTCTGCTCCGCGGGGAGCCTGCTTCTCCCTCTGCCTCTGTCTCTCATGAATAAATAAATAAAATCTTTATTAAAA